GAGTAGGCGCATTTGAATCAATGGACCCGTTAGAGTAAGCCCATTTCAATCAGTGGAACTTCTGGTGGCATTGACTTGCCAAATCTCCATTGATCCAATGGGCCTTCTCTAGTGCAATTTATTAGACCTCATTTGGGCCGTTTTCTCTAGACAGCATTGACAGCTGTTGCATCTCACTGTGTGTTCTCTCTCTCTTTCTATTTTGCAGGTGAAGCGACGTCTATCAACAAATATTGTGCCCCCAGTTGTCCAAATTTCAACACTGAAGTCAAGGGGAGCTCCAAAATCTCATCCACCTGCTGTGAAACCGACGGCTGCAACAGCGGTGGGCCCAGCACGGTGAAAACCAGCTACAGCCTGATGGCGCTGGCGACGCTTGCCAGCTTTTTCTATGCCCTGCGGACCGGGCTGTGAGGGGGACTGTGGAGAGCAGCTCTCTGGCCCACGGTCTCCCCAGAAGGCTTCTTTCCGGAGACCCTTGCCTGTGTCTTCTCATGAATGACACAATAATACCCCTGTTTTTGGCTAAACGCAAAGGAGCGCAATGTCACGATTGAATGTTTCTCACATAAATTCTTTGTGCGTTGAATAAAAGTGCCTGCATGGAAGGAAAAAAAAAAAAGGTTTTCCTTAGCTTTCTTTCTGAACTTCGGAATATCACATGCAGGGAGACGTCTTCCTGAGGGAGGACTCTCCAGGGATCGGTCCCCCTTACTGGCACTGTGAACTGGTACAGTCCTTCCCAAGCTGGAGACTATTTTTATCTCTCTTTGTTGAAAGCGCAGTTTAATTTCCCTCTCCCTTGTTCTGACCCCCCTGGTGAACTGGGGTTCAGGAGGATGAAGGAATGACCCCATCCTACTCTTGAGAGAAACCCCACTCTCCTCCTCAGAGTGGCCAGCTGAATGCAACAGTGCCTTTTAGCTTTCTCCTTAGGATAACAAAATTGTGAAGTTGGAAGGGTCCCTCTAAGGCCATCCAGTCCAACCCGCTCTGCTCAAGGCAGGAATAGGAACCACAGGATGTCTGCCATGTAGTTGTCTAAGTTCCCCTTGAAGGCCTCCAGGGTTGGGAGCACTCACCACCTCTCGAGATCACAGATTCAACTGTTGTGCTGCTCTGTTCTCCGTCATCCCAAAGTACAGGACAAAATAATAAGGGGCTCAAGTTGCAGGAAGTCAGATTTCCGCTGAATATCAGGAAAAACTTCTTAACTGTTAGAGTAACACAGCAATGAAACCATGACCTCGGGAGGTGATGAGTTCCCCAATACTAGAGGCCTTCAAGAGAAAATTGGACCACATCCCCGAACTGAAGGACGTGGTGGTGCTGAGGGTTAAACCGCAGAAGCCTCTGTGCTGCAAGGTCAGAAGACCAGCCGTCGTCAGATCGAATCCACGCAACGAAGTCAGCTCCCGTCACTTGTCCCAGCTCCTGCCAACCTAGCAGTTTGAAAGCATGTAAATGCGAGTAGATAAATAGGTACCACCTCGGTGGGAAGGTCATGGCAATCCGTGTCTAGTCGCGCTGGCCACGGGACCACGGAAACTGTCTTCAGACAAAATGCTCGCTTTACGGCTTAGAAACACTGCCCCCCAAAGTCGGAAACAACTGAACTAAATGTCAAGAGAACCTTTACCAGTCAGATCGGCTTGAGCAGCGGGTTGGACTCGATGGCCATAGAGGCTCCTTCCAACTCCATGATTCTACCATTCTGTGATCTGAGTCACCACTGGGTTGCCTTGCGCAGGCTTAGCTGGAATATGCCTTCAGGCAGGCCACTGCAGGGGAGAGTTTGAGCATGAGCCACAGGGCTTGATGAACACATGTGCATAAGTACGCAGCCCAAAAGCATGGGCAAGCATTACCCAGGATAGCACTCAGACAATGTTTTGGAGTAACTCCTGTTGTAGGTGTGGTTTTGATCCTAAAGAAGATGTTTATTCATTTGATGTTTCTACTACCCATCGCATGGTTCACCACTACTCTAGGTGGCTTCCACGTATAAACACACCCAGAGCCCCCCATCCATGAAACATCGCAGCCCAAAAGCATGGGCAAGCATTACCCAGGATAGCACTCAGACAATGTTTTGGAGTAACTCCTGTTGTAGGTGTGGTTTTGATCCTAAAGAAGATGTTTATTCATTTGATGTTTCTACTACCCATCGCATGGTTCACCACTACTCTAGGTGGCTTCCACGTATAAACACACCCAGAGCCCCCCATCCATGAAACATAACATGCCTTCAGGCATATATGCCTTCAGGCATGAAACATACAATCCATAAAACATTCCAGAAGAACCCCCAGAGGGGGTGGCAACCGAACCCCCCCATCCCAAGTTAAGCATAACATAAACATATCAAATGATCACGAGGGGTGGATATTCCAGAAAGCTTCTCTGAATAACTGTGTTTTCACTAGCCCAGATCTGCTCGCAAGGAGTCCCATTGCGTGGCAGCCACCACTGAGAAGACCTTGTTCCCGGTCATAGAGTTATGGGTCTCCTTCGGGGCGGCCACCGGCGGTGTCAAAGTTTGAGAGGTAAGTGCCAAGTTCTACACCTAGGAAAAAAGAAACCAAATACACAGTTGTGATGGGGGATAGCTGGCTAAGTAATACTACGGGTGAGAAGGATCTTCAAATTGTTATCTATCAAAGCTGAATATGAGCCAAGAGTGTGATGTGGCTGCAAAAAAGGCCAATGCTATTTCAGGATGCTTTAACAGAGGTATAGTCACACATACCATGAGGTACTCATTCCCCTCTGTTCAGCACAAGTTAGGCCTCATCTCAAGTTTTGTGTCCAGTTCTGGGCACCCCACTTTAAGAAGGATGCAGACAAAATGGAGCAAGTTCAGAGGAGGACGATAAGGATGATCAGGGGACTGGAAACCAAGTCCTGGGAGGAAAGACTGAAAGAATTGGGCATGTTTAGCCTCGAGAAAAGAAGACAGAGAGGAGATAGGATTGTGCTTTTCAGATACTTGAAAGGCTGTCATATAGAGGAGGGGCAAAATCTGTTCTCAGTCATCCCAGAATATACACACAACAATGGGCTCAAGTTAAAGGAAGCCAGATTTCGGTTGAATAGCCGGAAAAATGTCCTAACTCTTAAAGCAGTACAACGGTGGAACCCGTTACCTTGGGAGTTGGTGAGCACTCCAGTGCTGGAGGCATTCAAGAGAAAATTAGACCACCCTCTGTCAGATCTACATTGATCCTGCCTTGAGCAGGGGGTTGGTCTTGATGGCCTTATAGGCCCCTTCTAACTCCATTATTCTATGGTTCTGTGCAAACAGATGAATAAGGCTGGGAGGCTCCTGGCACAAAAAATCAACTATATTACTAGTTTGGCCAATAACATAAATTGGCAAAACAGCTGTCATCACCAATGATGAAATGAGTTCATCAAAATGCAGGCATGTGCGGCTACCTATTTTTAGCTTTTACGGCATGATTCCCAGTTCCTTTTTGTCTTTCTACTTCTGTAATTGGCAGGCTCTGTTTCTATGGCTATGCTGTCATCCTGGTAATTGATAGGACATCTTTATTGCTTGTGTTCTCAGCCAGAAGCTGGGAGACAGACAGGTTCCTCGGCAGCTTATAGGGAAAGCAATACGGGAAGGAGGATATTTAAAGCTTTCTGGAAGCCGTGGGAAGGAAGGCGGTGAAGAATGTGGGGGAGCAATGAAAAGATTCCAGCAGAAGTGCTTGGGATACATACCTATGCACAGGTTGCAGAGAGAGAGAGAGAGAGAGAGAGAATTAATCTGGGGACCTGGGGAATAGATTTGTGGCTAGGCTCTGTTTCTCCCAGCTGGCCTAGGCATTTTGTCCGAAGACAATCTTCCGTGGTCACATGGCCAGTGCGACTTAGACACGGAACGCTGTTACCTTCCCACCGAGGTGGTCCCTATTTATCTACTTGCATTTGCATGCTTTCGAACCGCTAGGTTGGTGGGAGGGGATGGGAATTTTGGAAACCTATGCTTCCAATAACCAGAAATCACATGGGATGACAGATGGCAAGGGATGGATATTCCTGGATAGTCTGTAGTACAAGTGTCATAATTTTCCATTCTGGAGGTTCTACCTGACAGGGGGGAGAAAGTGGGTTGGACTTGCTAAGCTCCATGGCAACTCTGTTGGTAGTTTTCCCCCCCTGAAAGGTATCATGTGCAGAGCCTAATGAGCAGGCAGACTACCAATACCTTAGCCCAGTGGTCCCCAACCTTGGACCTCCAGATGTTCTTGGACTACAACTCCCAGAAGCCTACACCAACCACCTCTTCTGGCCAGGATTTCTGGGAGTTGAAGTCCAAGAACATCTGGAGGCCCAAGTTTGGGGACCACTGACCTAAAGGACAAGGTTTTAGCCAGAGTTTAGGAATGCTTTCCAGTGGCTCACATTCCACGGTGAAGGCTTCTGGGAGTTGCAGTCCAAGAAGAGAGTGGGTGGGACTTGCTCAACTCCATGGGAACTATATACAGAGCCTAATGAGCAGGCAGACTACCAATCCCTTAGCCCCTTGCAGCTCCCATGGAGTTTAGCAAATCCTACCCACTCTCACCCTTTACAATGTCTGCGGAGAGAAACTTAGATGAGTGCCTTAGATGTGTGTGCTGAAACTCTCCTTTAAGGACTTAGATTTTTTTGGCTACAGGTACCAGAATTATGGTTGAGGGAATTTCTGGTGAATTGTGATAGCTGCAGTGAAAAAATTAAAAAAAATTGCACACTTGGTTATTTGCACCTCTTTTTCTGCATTGTTCCTCCCTGTTCTTTTCAGATATTTATTCTGTCGATTACACAACATGAGTGTGAGATCCGATCTTGTGGTATGATTATGTGGTATATTTTGCTCATTTTGTTTGTAGTGTTTCCACTCACAGCATTTTCTCTTGCGGCCTTGTCTGATTGTCCATCTCAGTTCTTCAGGGCCATTGTTAGGTATGTCCAGATGACATCAGTGATGATGCACAAAGTGAGACATTCTATAGGAGTGAATCCTACGCCTTTTGCTTGCCTCCTGCTCACTCTGGTAAAGATCACAACTGTGATACAATTTGTGAGTTGTATTTTTTAAAAAATGTTTCTTTTAAAAGTTTAGTGATATAGTTAGAGCACTAAACCAATACAGCGCTAATTCAGATGCTTGTCACACGGACCTTGTCAGTTTAGTGCTGTTTCAGTTATGACCAATTAAAAAAGAGAAGGGGTTTAAATGCTAGTGAAGGGAGTGGTTAAGTGGGTGTGGATAATAGTAGAGAAGAGTGAGGGGGAAGGGAACCTGTGTGATGTGTGGATACCTGAATCACACCTTCCTGGTATAATTAAACATCTTTGGATGAACGGTAATACAGTGGTGCCTCGCATAGCGAGGTTAATCCGTTCCGGATTAACCTTCGCTATGCTGAAGCATCGTTGAACGGGGCAGGGATTTCCATTGGAACGCATTAAACATGGTTTAATGCGTTCCAAATGGGCCAAATACTCACCGTTCAGCGAAGCTTCTTAATGGCCGGCAGCCATTTTCGCGCCCTCGCCTCGCTTAATGAGGGTGCAAAAACACTGCGCGTGGCCTTTTTGGGCCATTTCCGGGCTTCCGGCGACCATTTTGGCCGCCGGACAGCTGATTGTCGGGCTTCGTTTTGCGAAGATCGGTAAGCGAAATGCTTACCGGTCTTCGCAAAGCGAATTGTGCCCTATTAGAAAAACATTAAGCAATCGCATTAACAATCCGAAAAACGGATCGCTATGCGATTTCGTCGTTATGCGGTGCGCTCGTTAAGCGAGGCACCACTGTATTGACTTAAATGCCAGATTGATTGTAGGCATCCTTCAGTCTCGAGAGACTATGGCAGCGTGCTCTGAATAGAAGTCTTGGAACAGCAAGTGTGACCTAGTGTGGCTGAGGAGACCAATTCGAGAGTGACCATCCCTTCCACACTGAAGACAAATACAGTCTGTCCCCTGTCCAGCTCCCTGATTTTGCTGCTTTCGGGACAGCCTCTTGGCCTCGGCCTGCTGGACAAGGGTCTCTTCAAATTGGGAGAGGCCGTGATGCACCACCTGCCTCCAGGCTGAATGCTCGGAGGTCAAGGTTTCCCATCAGTGGAGGTCCATTCCTAAGGCCTTCAGATCCCGCTTGCAGATATCTTTAGGGCTCAATATAAAGATGTTTGCATCAACCTGGGACAAACTTCAGTGTGGTCATGCCCTAGATCTGGTCCTCTTTTCCCCGTCTTTCAAATCTGATGCTTTACTTCACTAGGTGAGAAATGGAACCTAAGCCTGCAGAGAACATGGACAAAACCTCTGGAGTTGTTCCCACAGTCCTGTCACAAAGGGGATCGGACTGTGAATCCTACAAGCTTAGCTCTGGGGGAGAAATAGATGGGACTTGAGCTGCAGGTGTTCCTGGAAGAGGGAGGATCCATCCAAGCTGTGGTCCATCCAGATGTTTTGGGACTTCAACCCTCCTCAGACCCTGGGCTAGGCTATCAAGTGGTGAGGGATGCTGGGTCTTGGCCACCAAGAATATCCAGAGGACCAAGATTGGCTTACACCTGATCTAGTCAAACTAGTGCAGGTTTTGGAAGGCAGGAAGCATCTACAACCTCTCTCATGGATGGCTGCTTCTACCTCTGCTGAGAGATCCCAACGTGATGACCTCTGAAGGAGAAGGAACAGCAGCCAACGGGGGATTTAGCTAGCAGGGACAGGTAGCAGCTACCTGTACTGTCGCTTTCTTCTCCTTCCCCATACAGAGTGTGACGAGGCTGGACGTCTAGTGGGGGGGAAATGCATGCTGCTTTGAAGGCTGTTAATCTTGGCAAAGAGCCACATATAATTCAAATAATACTGCCCAGAAAGAAGGCCATTTAATTTGAAATGACATGGGCTTAACTGTTGTTGTGAACTAATATGGTAGATCTTTGTCACTCATGCAATGGAACTTAGTGGGTCTCTTGTCTTTTAAGAAACTGAAGATTGGACCTTTGAACACTTGCCTTCAAATCCCATGATGCAGAGCAGCTTCGGGTTGTCGTGAAATTACAGGTTTGCCTTCAAAAGGCAACTAAAATGAGTTTCGGGGCGAAGTGTACGGTTCTGCCACGGCTGCATCCTATTTTAGTTGCTAGAATATTAATAGCTAGGTTTTGGAAAGACAAAAATGATATTAAATTAGAAGATTTGTATAATGAAGTATGGGACATCGCATTAAATGATAAATAGACTACGGAATTTAGGATGAAAAGAGAGGAAATAAGTTCTAATAATTTTTATGCTATTTGGGGCAGACTTGTTGAATTTGTATTAGTGAAAGGAAAGGGGAAAGCCTCTAAACAACAATCTATACAATTTTGGAAAGGAAATCTGCAATAAAAATTGTTCAATGGGGTCCCGTGGGTATGGGGTGCACGTGAGAATGTAGTCTCAAACAGCACTATTATTTGTATTTTTGTATTTTTGTTGTTGTAATTGTTTTTGTTTTAAAATAAAAAATAAGCTGCCAAAAAAAAGAGAGAATAAACTCAAGGACCCATTCAGTGAAGTTTTGCTTTAGGAAACTGTGCAACTCTCAAGGGCAAATGCAATACCCCGTTTGGAGAGCTTGTTTTAAAATAAAAAAATAAGCTGCCAAAAAAAAAAAAGAGAGAGAGAGAGAATAAACTCAAGGACCCATTCCAGTGAAGCTTTGCTTTAGGAAACTGTGCAACTCTTAAGGGCAAATGCAATACCCCGTTTGGAGAGCAAAGCATCGCAAACACAGCCAGTTGGAATTCATCAGGCAGGAAGGATGGATTTCCTACAGAGTGCTGTGGCTTTCGCAGAGATGAACAGGCCTCAAAGAGGCATCCAGTCCTCAGCCACCCCAAGTCAATCACTGTCTTGTGATGCAGTAGAGCCGTATAAACACCAGGCCTACATTCTCCGTGAACGTTTGAGCTGTATTTTGATGTTTGATGCAAGGAGCCAGGAATGGAGAAACGATTTCAGTATCGGTGTTGCCGAGAAATGAGGTGGGGTTGGGAATTCTTGCAAGCGCCAGCTTGCTCGAGGTGGATTTCCAGTGAAAAGCATTCCCACGATGCACCCTAATTATACCCAATGCAAATCCATCCTTTTAGGTAACCATGCGCTCCTTCTTGTTGTAACGTATCTGGAAGACTTGGTAACCACCGGCTGGCAAGGCATTGCCAAAATGAAGGCTGTCGCAGTTGGGCTCCTGTTCGCGGCACTCTTCGTGGAGAAAGGTGAGGGGGAATCAAAGAGAGTCTTCGGCAGACGACGAAACATGGTGTGCCTCGGAGAAGAGAGTAGGGAAGCAGGTGGAAAGGACCCCAGGGCACCGTCTGTTTTGTTGAGACACCCTAGCTGCGATAGCAGGGCTGAGACAGTTTTTGACGCTGTTCTCTACGCTCAACAGTTGTGCAAGGCAAGCCCATTTGGGGTGCTTAGGAGCAGCCATAGCTTAAGGTATATTCAAATTAAAAATGTATGTGTTCTTATGCAACCGTTGATTCATCTTTTGACCCTTAACATTTATGATCCATCTACTATGGTTAGCTCCAGAGATGGGCACGGACCGCCGGTTCGGGAGTTTGTGCCGGTTCGTTTAGTGGCCAAACTGGTGTTCGGAGCTTCCTAGCCCCACCTCCTCTGTTAGGCGCCCACTTGGAGGGAGCAGCCCTGGCTTCCCTGCCCTGCCTCCTCTGGGCGCTGCCCCTGAGTGGGTGCCTGAAAGAGGAGGCAGGGCTTTTACTTTACTTTTACTTTATTTAGACTTATACCCCGCCCCTCTAGACAAAGTCTACTCGGGGCGGCTTGCATAGGTTTTGAAGCATCGAAACCTGTTTTGCCGTTAAATGAACCGGCACAAACCAGTGATTTATGCCCATCTCTAGCCATCGCCTCCCTGTGTGTGCATTCATTGGAAGGCAGAAGTTTTTGTCCTCCGTTACATCACAAGACATGGTGCAGACTCTCTTCAGATCAAGCTTCCTCCTCTTTCCTCTTTGGTTTCCTTTGTAATCTTTGGCCCAATAAAGGGGTCGAAACTTCACCCTAATGAAGCCAGTATCTAAATACAGATTTTAGTTATCCTAAAAGCAGCTATGAGTAATAATGATGAAAAATGAATTTGTTATACTTTGGGCACATTTTGAAAAGATGAGATTTCATGGTAGGTAAAATGGAAGGCAGTAGGAAAAGAGGAAGATTGAACTTGAGATGGGTTGACTTAAAAAAGAAGCCACAGACTAGTGTTTGCAAGACCTGTGCAGGGCTGCTAAGGAGAGCTTTTCTGAAGGTCGCTGGTTCATAAACTTGGAGGCATCTTGATAGCATGTAAGGATGGGAGAATGAGCCCGAATTACATTTGGACCTGTTTCCGACATTCAAATTTTAGTGCTAATATTTATGCAGACAAAACCAGAACCATATGAGCATTTGTTATTTATTTATTCGAAATATTTTAACCTTGCCTTCCACCTTAAAAGGGCTAAAGGCAGCTTGCAACAATTAAAAGACCATACTGAAAAGCAAAAAAACATAAGTATAATGGATATTTTTAAAAAGGGAATTAAACAAGCATTATGTTAAAAGCATAAGGGACGTGGTGGTGCTGCAGGTTAAACTGCAGAAGCCTCTGTGCTGCAAGGTCAGAAGACCAGCCTTCGTAAGATTGTCCCAGCTCCTGCCAACCTAGCAGTTCAAAAGCATGTAAAAATGCGAGTAGATAAATAGGTACCACCTCAGTGGGAAGGTAACGGTGTTCCGTGTATAGTCGCGCTGGCCACGTGACCATGGAAACTGTCTTCGGACAAACATTGGCTCTACGGCTTCGAGACCAGGATGAGCACCACCCCTAGAGTTGGACACGACTGGACTAAATGTCAAGGGGAACCTTTAAGGTAAAGGTAAAGGTTCCCCTTGACAATTTTTGTCCGGTCGTGTTCGACTCTAGGGGGCGGTGCTCATCCCCGTTTCCAAGCCATAGAGCCAGCGTTTTGTCCGAAGACAATCTTCCGTGGTCACATGGCCAGTGTGACTTAGACACGGAATGCTGTTACCTTCCCACCAAGGTGGTCCCTATTGATCTACTTGCATTTGCATGCTTTCGAACCGCTAGGTTGGTGGGAGTTGGGACAAGCGACGGGTGCTCACTCTGTCGCGTGGATTTGATCTTAGGACTGCTGGTCTTCTGACCCTGCAGCACAGGCTTCTGCGGTTTAGCCCACAGTGCCACCATGTCCCTCATGTCCCTCACCACGTGCCTCAAAGGTAAAGGGGAACCTTTACCTTTGTGTTAAAAGCGGTAAGTAAAATCAACAGCAAAAACAGGTTTAAAAACATTGCAGGGCAACCACCCATTTAATGCATGGGAGTCTTTGTCGCTTCAGAAAACCTCAGAGGGTCTTACATACGTCCACAGGCTCGTGAGTTAGAAGGAGAGAACAGACCCTCGTCTGTGCGTGTGTACCCACAGTTCTGGCAGGACTGGGAAACCTGAAAGCATGCGACGTAGCACAAGGCCCAAGACATACAGGGGTCATTTGGGGGCATCACAAAAGCACGCAGAACTTTAAAAGAAAGTTCTGAAAAACCCATCATGCCAGCCACTCTGAAACCCACACGCTTATTCATCTTTTTTTGGTTTGCTTTGTTTTGGAAACCAGCTTTGTCGTTGCACTGTTACGCGTGTCAGAAGGCCAACGCTCCCTCCGCCTGCCTCTTCTCCAGCGAGTGTTCAGCGTCAGAGCGACACTGCGTGGCAATCTATAACGAAACCTCTGGTAAGTGGCAGAGGAATGGGAGGATCCGCTGGCCAAGCTGGCCGTCCTAACCCAGTGATGGCGAACCTTTTTGAGCCCAAGTGCACAAAACCAAATAATTTGTTTCGAAGTGGCAACACTGCAATTAGAAACCAAATGATTTGTTTCGAAGTGGCAACACTGCAATTAAACTTGAATACTGAGGTTTAGGTTAGAAAAAAACCCACTCATGTCATTTATACATTTTGTCTGTCTGGTTCTTTATGGATTCCTCCAAATGACAGCTCTTTTAGAAAAAAGTCAAGTGCACAATGCTACACTGAATTAAATGTTGTTGTTGTTTAGTTGTTAAGTTTTGTCTGACTATTCGTGACCCCATGGACCAGAGCACACCAGGCCCACCTGTCCTCCATTGCCTCCTTGGGTCAAAGTCATGTTGGTCACTTTGGTGACACTGTCCAGCTATCTCATCCTCTGTAGTTCCCCTTCTCCTCTTGCTGTCACACTTCCCTAACATCAGGGTCTTTTCCAGGGAGTCTTCTCATGAGATGGCCAATGTACTGGAGCCTCAGGGTTGATTTCCTTTAAAATGGATCGGTTTGTTCTCTTTGCAGTCCAGGGGACTCTCAAGGGTCTCCTCCAACACCACAATTCAAAAGCATTAATTCTTCGGCGGTCACACTTCTTTGATGTTGAGGTTCATACTATTTTTTGTGCTCTCCTTTTTCACCATCATTAAGAGGTTCTTTAATTCCTCCTCACTTTCTGCCATCAGAGTGGTATCATCTGCATATCTGGGTTTGTTGATGTTTCTTCCGGCAATCTTAATTCCAGCTTGGGATTCCTCCAGTCCAGCCTTCCGCATGATGTACTCTGCATATAAGTTAAATAAGCCGGGGAACAATATACAGCCTTGTCGTACTCCTTTCCCAATTTTGAACCAAACAGTTGTTCCATATCCAGTTCTAACTGTTGCTTCCTGTCCCACATATAGATTTCTCAGGAGATAGATAAGGTGGTCAGGCACACCCATTTCTTTAAGGACTTGCCATAGTTTGTTGTGGTCCACACAGTCAAAGGCTTTTGCATAGTCAATGAAGCAGAAGTAGATTTCTTTCTGGAACTCTCTGGCTTTCTCCATAATCCAGTGCATGTAAGCAATCTGGGCTCTAGTTCCTCTGCCCCTTCAAAATCCATCTTGTACTTCTGAGAATACTTCTGAGAAGATAGCTATTACTCAACCAAAAAATCTATTTCTGCAGATAAAGCACATGTTTACATGTTCTGTGTGTAATATAGATGCACTATTATTCACTCCAGGTCGTTTAGACAGCTGGCAGTTTCTTAACCCACCTTGTTTTCAATTCTAATTTTCAGATCACAAACCGTCCATCAGCAAACAGTGTGCTGAGAAGTGCCCCGAAATCAAGGAAACGGGTGTCAAGGTGGTTTGTTGTGAGGACAGCTACTGCAACGGGAAGGGAGCCGTCAGTATGAAGACCAGTTACGCCACCCTGATCGTGGCGATGCTGGCCAGCTTCCTCTACATCCTGCCGATGGAACTGTGACGGGGCATGGAGAGAAGTTCTCTGCTTGTGCGTCTCTAGATGCCTGAAAAGAAGATACAAAACTCTGCACTGTTCTTAAATCTTGGACTCACTGAACACTGTTTTACATATCCCATCATTGCTTTCCCTCGCATGCCATGGGGTGAGGCCATGAATGAATGCTTTCTCACATAAGAAAGATCTTCTCCATTCAAAAAATGTCAGTGCATGAGAATAAAGAGCTGCCCCCCCCCTCTCTCTCTCTGATGTGCTGGTTAAAAACATACAGGGGGACATGTCTTGGACATGGAGGCTCATCCAGGAGTCTGAGTTTTTGGCCTGCTCTGCGAAGTGATGCCGTCTCTCCCAAACTCTCAGATGTCGTCCTTCTGCCTTGCATGGAGCTGAGCCACCAGACTGTCTTGGCCTTGTTTCAGCCTTTTTGCTTTCTAGCTTTCTCCTTTTCTCCTGCCTCCTCCTGCAGGTTCAGATTCCCACTGCCTTTCCTTCCCTGCCCCCAGGGATTTTTACACAAACAGTACAAAGAACCTCTTCCCTCAGCTCAGCTTTGAGAATTTATTCTGGCCAATAAGCTCATTGGCCTTACAAACAAGGCTTTCTCTTTAATCAGTTAAAGAAAAAGCCAGAGTTGATTGAAGTTTCGCTGATGTGTGAGAAACAATCCAGGGAGCGACTAGACAGGCACTTATCCCATTGTGTGTGATATTTATTCTGTTGACAACACAACCTTACCCCTTCACGGATTGCTGCCTGGTCATGGCCAAGGGGCTTGAGTAACACAGAGAAGGGCTATGGGCTATGCCGTGCAGGGACACCCAAGACGGACAGGACATAGTGGGGAGTTCCGACTAAATGCAATCCACCTGGAGTAGGAACTGGCAATGCCACTCCAGTACCTTTGCCAAGAACGCCCCATGATCAGAAACAAAAGGATAAAAGATATGACGCTGGAAGATGGGACCCTCAGGTCGGAAGGCATCCAACATGCTACTGAGGAAGAGCGGAGGACAAGGACAAGTAGCTCCAGAGCTAATGAAGTTGTTGGGCCAAAGCCGAAAGGATGCTCTTCCTCCTCCTCCTACTTGTCTTCCTCTTCTTTCTTCCTGAGGTTGCCAGTTTGGGCGGTTGCTTTGCCCCTGCATTTGGCAGCTCTAAACAGGGAGGTTGTGCTTTGTACAAATCAATTGTTGTTGTTTCGTCGTTAAGTTGTGTCCGACTCTTTGTGACCCCATGGACCAGAGCACGCCAGGCCCTCCTGTCTTCCACTGCCTCCCGGAGTTGGGTCAAATTCATGTTGGTGGCTTTGATGACCCTGTCCATCCATCTCGTCCTCTGTCGTCCCCTTCTCCTCTTGCCTTCACACTTTCCCAACATCGGGGTTTTTTCCAGGGAACAAATCAATTGGGAACAAGCCAAATTTTGACTAGAGCACCCAGAATCCCCAGCTAGCATGCCCAGAGACCATTCTGGCTAGGAATTCTGTGAGTCGTGTTTCCAGATCTGATCCTTAATATACACCACTGGTACCACTTTTGACGACATGCACTTTCAATTGAAGAATACTGCCTCCTGCTGGGCAACACTTGCATGAGCATTTCCCATTGAGTGCCCGCATGGCTCCCTCTCCTGGCCTCTACCCTCCTAAATTCCTGGCTTGCTTTTGTTTGCATTCTTAAACTCTTTCAATGTGGTTTTAAAAGTGTTTTGAAATATTTAAATTATTTCAATCCCCATGCAGCAATTTTTTTTACTACTATCCTATGTAATGTTGATACAGGGAAGATTAGAAATTAGAAATATTTTAGTAAATAAATACGAACTAAAGGAACAAGTTAGGTCATGTGAAGAACCAGAAACCAGGGAAGTAGTACCTTGAACAGGCTCCACACAGGCAATACTTTGAACTGCATCAAAAGACGTTTATGGTGCAAGCTTTCAGACTCTACTGAACTCTTTCTAGCTTCCTCTGTGTGGCTGGCCAGGTCGGTTTGTTGTAGCAAAATGGTTACATTTATTTATTTATTAGACTTATATGCTGCCCATCTAGACAATGTCTACTCTGTGTGGCTCACAACAAATAGAATAAAAATAATTGTAATATGGCAACAATTTTACGACAATTTCACAACAATAAACAGTCATTCAAGATGGAAAATAAAAAAATAAATTAACCAGTGTCCGGAGGGAAGGTTTGCCTAAATAGCTAGGTTTTAAGTTGGCTTTTAAAAATACCCAGCGAAGGGGCCGAATGGATCTCGGAGGGGAGATGATTCCAAAGGCGGGAAGCCACTGCCGAGAAGGCCCGGTTTCTTGTTTTTTTCCCCCCAACATTTCGACATTCAACAAACAGCAAGCTTTATTTGGTATCAACTGCCACACACTCTAGCCCACTTTTTCAGATGCACTGAAAATAGTCTCAATGTTTTACGAAGGAGTTCCCCCCCCCTCTTTTCAGTAACAATTTGTTTGGAATCGGGCAACGGCCTCGGCCGACACAACAGGCTCAGAAAAAGGTGGGCATAGCCCATAGCGGCTCCTGTTGCTTGCCTGTGATGCAAAGCTTAATGTCGTTTCAAAAGGGTTCCTAATCCACACTGCAGTAGGGTGTGTGTCGCTTCCTGGTGTGGTGAGGGGACGCACATGGAGGGAGTTGAGGTAAGCCTCCCAATTCTAGGCTGCTGCCTGCTGAACCATCTATCAGCTGCCAGTGCTCACCATCCATCACACCATACATGTACCAACTACCCGGCCACATCGTTCTTGCCTGGGGAGGCAGCTCCGGTCGCTTTGCTTTGTGTTGAACGGGCAAGCGACGGGTTCTCGGCTGCTGCTCCATAGCCAGCACGGTCAGGACCCACGGCCTCCTCCTTTCAGCCTGCAATCAGAGAAGTCTCGACAAATTTGAGGTGAGGATTCCCATTGGAACCGGACCTGCGTTGCCACCAGGTTCGTGTCTGTTCGCAGCTAACCTGCGGTAAATATCTTCACTGCGGATATCCTCAGCATGTCGTTCCCATCCTCCGTAACCCTGGTCCGCTTCTCCGTCGTCCGGTTGAACACTCGAGTTCTGTGTTCTGCACCAAACAACCGAGGACCTTCCTTTTTTCTTAGGTGAAGTCCCTGCTGGCAATTGTTCTATTTTTATTTTGCAGCTTTTCCTCGCTCACTTCCCTCCAGGACTTTCCGTCTCCAGAACGTCTTCTGCTGAACTTCATGACTTTGCCAATCTGAGTGAACCCTCCAGCCCTGTGGCTGTCAGAGATACGACAAATGACCATCCCGTAATTCTTTGTCTCTCTTTCCTCCCCTACCTGTGGGAAGGTGTCCTTCTACACATCACTAAAAAGGAGGCTCTAGATCACTGGTTCTTAACCTTGAGTTACTCAGGAGTTTTGGACTGCAACTCCCAGAAGCCTTCACCACCAACTGTGATGACTGGGGTATCTGGGAGTTGCAGTTCAAAAGCATCTGAGTATCAAAGGTTAAGAACCACTGCTCTAGATCATCAAAAAGAAACAGGAGGGTGACTCGTTTAAAATGGTGCATGTCAGTTTATAGGTACACATACCAAATTACAAATGATTTTTAAGCATTATACCAAATTCTGATATGTCATAGATTTGTCATGGCATTGGAAGGGACCTGGGAGGTCTTCTAGTCCAACCCCTTTCCCAAGGCAGGAGACCTCCTCCCATCCCGGACAGATGGCTGTCCAATCTTTTCTTGAAAACCTCCAGCCATGGGACACCCACCACATCTGGAGGCGAGCTGTTCCACTGCTTAATGGTCCTCACTGTCAGGAAATTCCTCCTTATTTCCAGGTTGGATCTCCCTCTGATGCATTTCCACCTGTTGGTTCTTGTCCTACCCTCAGGTGCAATGAAGAATACTGTAAATTGATGTCCTCTTCCCTGTGGCTACCCTTCAGATCTTGGAAGACGGCTATCAAGTCTCCCCTCAGTCTTCTCTTCGTTAAGCTAAAAAGACCTAGTTCTTTTAGTCGTTCTTCATAGGATTTAGCCTCCAGCTGCAGCACACTGCTGACTCATCCTCAGGTGGTGGTCCACCAGGACACCTCCATCCATCCCTCTCACAGGTACTCCTCTCGAGCCAGGTATCGCCTCTCCTGTACCTGTGCCTCTGGTTTCTCCTGCCTAAATGCAGGACCTTACTTTTCCTGCCACTGAACTGCATCTTACTGGATAGGCCCCAAGGTTCAAGTCTGTCTAAAATCCTTCTGAATGTTGAGCCTATCTTCCAAAGGATTAGCAATTCCCCCTAGCTTTGTGTCATCAGCAAATCTGAGGAGTGCTCCTTCAATCCCCTCATCCAGGTCGTTGATGAAGATGTTGAAGAGCCCTGGGCCCAAGACGGAACCTTGAGGGACTCCACTGCACACTTCCCTCCACACAGATGTGGCTCCACTGAAGGCCACATGTTGAGTGCGGTTGGTCAGCCGGCTGCAAATCCATCTGGTAGTATCTCACCTGGAAAGGATAGGCTTGTGACCACTTTCCTAATTTGTTCACTTATCTTCGGTCCAGGTGCTCGATGTGTGCCTGTCACTTTTTAACAAAGGAGAGCAAAAAGAACTAAACTTTCGGGAAGGAGAGGGAAGGAGGTTTGCCTGAGAACAGCAATCTACATATTGAGAGGTGGTTCCTTAGAAAAGATGACAGGGGGCTGGTTCAGTTTATTTGTAACATACATTGGTGCTCAGTCCCCACAAGGAAGACATTGGGGATGTCCAGCCCCAGAAAGACTATATGGAGCAGCCTTTTAAGAAAAAGTTGTCATCATCTTTTAGACCAGATGGGCGGGATATAAATCAAATAAATAAATAAATAAATAAATCATAAATGAACGATCAACATCTTTCGGTAAAATACCTTTTATGGGAGAGAGCATTTGATCAGTGCTAAGAATTAGAAGAACTGCAAAAGGTTATTTCAGCTGATTCAGCTACTAGATAGAGACCTCAAAAGGTCTTTTTTAAAAACAGCTTTTCAGGATTACTTAGATATGGAAAACAAATGTCAGAAGAGATAACATTGCTTCAGCATTACAATGACTGTTCCCATTGCTTCAGCATTATAATGGGGAAAGTCACATCTTGTGAAATTCTGCCTGAATTGGTTTCAAGGTGTAGACGTGAGTGGCCCCTAACTTAATTTATTCGGCCGCTCCCTTCCTCAACTTAAGTGACTCCATTATTTAATTAA